GGGAACTGGGAATTGAACTCAGGCCCTTGTGCTTGCAAGTCAAGTGCTACTGAGCCATCTCCCCAGCCCCCTATGTGAGCAGCTTCTGCAGGGTTTTGTTTCCATTCTCCAATATTTAAGGAGCCACACATGTGCCTTCCTTTCCTGAGGCACAAAGCTTGTAACAAAATGTAAACTTCATGGAATATTAGCTAAGAGCACCAGGTCCATGCAATGTTTTGCTGTATGTACACATAGCTGAAATCAAATGCAGTGATAAACCTACAGAAAGGAAGAGGGCTGCTATGAGAACAATGGGAAAAGCAGAGAGAAGGTGACTGTTGAAGTTGAATACTGTGTTAGTAGTGGCAAGACAGAGGTAGAGAGTTATTTTATACCAACACTATGATAATTTTGAAGTAGGAATCATGTACTTAAGTATGAGTGCTTTAACAAAGAAGTACCAAAGAGTACTTATAATCACATAGATGATATAAGAAATAATTTATCTAATAATGTGTATCAGGCCACGGAGATAGCTCAGCAGTCTAAGTGCCTACCTAGGCAAGCGCAAAGATCTGGGTTTGATCCCCAGTACTGCATGCCATGCCGGCCCCACACTGAGCCAGACACCGAGACCAGGCATGGTGGTGAGCGCCTATAATCCCAGCACCAGGGAGGCTGAAACAGGAGGATCACTGTGAGTCTGAGCTGTGAGGTGAGACCCTGTACCAAATACACAAAATTAAAAACAAAATGTATACCATATATCGTAAGTTTAAAATAGCATGAAAGCTACTTTTAAAGACTAGATTTTATGAGTTTCTATTAAAATAAGTTGAATATTGATTGTATGACTATCTGGTTGGGTTAATAGTTGAAGATGTCCATTAATTTTTATAACTTGACCATGAATTCTTGTATCTTGAATTTTCATATAAAATTCCTAGAAAAACAATGTCCCTTTGAACCAAAAAACAGAATTTTTAAAAAATGCAAATATCTAATTTACTCATTTATAATCTAATCAAACAAGTGCAGTTTGCTATTATATAATTCATAATATACATTTTCCCTGAAGCCTTTCACTATACTTTGTATTTCATTATACTTTTATGTTTCATTTTAACTAATGAGATAGTTAATGGAATATAAATTAATATTAGCATGATCTTTGGGCAAATTTTGAGTTCTATGGATGTACATGTTGATGTATATTATAGCTATATGTTTGGGTAGGGGTTTGTATTGATTAGCTTTTGCCACATAATAAAGAACAATCTACTCCACACATAGTGGCAGAAAGCACATTTATTTACTAGCTGATGGTTTTTTACTTGACTGTTTGGGTTGGGCTCAGCTGGATGATTCTTCAGCTGATCCCCAGGGTTTAGCTGCCAGGTCAAGTGGAGGCCGATTGGTTCTGGATATCCTCATATGCCCACACATCTGACAGTTTGGCTGGGTGATAAGAGTGCCTGAGCCATGTATCTCCTGCATCTAGCAGGCTATTCTGGGCATTTTTACATCAAGATTGCCTCCTAGGGGCTGGTGAGATGGCTCAGTGGTCTAAAGCACCTACTTAGAACAAGCTTAGCAAAGCACAGGGACCACGGTTCAATCCCCCAGCACCACATGCCAGCCAGCCCCGCCCCCTGGTGGGCTGAGCTGGCCACACACGCACACACACACACACACACACACACACACACATAAATAAATTTTTAAAAAATTAAAAAAAAAAAGATTGCCTCCTAAAAGCAGCAATAGATGGGGCAAGTTCCAACATAAAAACACCTTTCAATGCTTTGTTTCTGCCTTATGTGCAGGTTTTGTTTGTAAGAAAAAGCAAGACCAGAGTTAATATGCTCCACCTCTTTATGGGAGGAGTTGCAAAGAATTTGTAATCACTTTTACTTTGTGATCTATTGTTGAATTGAAATGAGTTTAATATGTAGACATAGTGTCATGATTTGGGGTTTTGCAAGGGGAACAATATAATACAGGCCACATATTTTTAAAATTATTTGTAAGTCACCCAAGAATCATATACAAAAAGAGAGTGCTGGAAATCTGTCCACACATTAAAGACTGAAGAATTGAGCTGAGGGCCTAGATCCCATAATGATGTCCTACATGAATCCAGCTGAAGACATAGAACACATAACAGTGCCTTCCACAAGTCCAACCGGAGGCCTAGAGCCCATGACAATGTCTCATGCAGGCCTGTTTCATGGATCTGCTCTGGGAAGGCCCAAAGGTCAGTGGTGAAAGCTAGAAAGTCTGTGCCAGCAGGATGACAGAGCTGTACTAGCAGGCTGAGGGGTCTGCACTGGTGCCAGGAAGTGATACTCAAGGTAAGAATTAGAGCTCCCCCAAGAGGTACCACAGCCATCCTCAGCAACAGTGAGGTCCTGAGCTCCTCCAACAATGAGGAAAGCTGAGTTCCTATTAGAAAAGCCAGTCTGACAAGCTTCTCAGAAGACTGGGCAGTGCTCCATTTTTCCTTTGGAGCCATGAAGCTCAAGGTGAGGACCAGACCTCCCCCAATGTGAAAAATAGCCAGTCTTGGTGATGAGGTCCTGAGCTCCTCCTCCAGTAACAGGAAGTCCATCATGACAAGGTCCTCCAGTAACAGGAAATCCATCGTGACAAGATCCTCCAGTAGAATAGCCCAAGAGAACCAGTAGCTCCCTAACAGCTTCCCAACAGCTCCTCTTATTCCACTTCATATGCTGCTGTCAATAGTCCTCAGTTGGGCCTCCCACACTCAGCACACACTCATTCAGTTCAGATAGGTGTATCAAGTTGACCACCGGCTGTCTGTCCACCACACACAGTATTAGTAGTTTAAATTTTAGCACTACTGTTAAACCTAAACACATTTCATCATGACCTGTACTTTTCAATTAAAACTACCTTTTATGGTACCAATGATTTTGGACAAGAAAATAAAATTTGATATTTAATTAAATTCCACATTACCAATGTATATTAGCTCTTACTAAGAAGGACATTTATTCAGTAGCTGCTGGTGGTCAGGATGTGCCTTTTGCAAATTGCCACTGCAGTTGAGCATTAATAACATTTAGGAAATGAAACAAAGGAAGCTCTATGACTTGTCCTATTCTAATCAATATTAAATACTATTATCGTGCCTAAAATATCTTATAATAACTTAGTTGTCAAAGTTAAAAATACCTAGAAAGTGTGTATCTAGTTATATTAGTAAAATAACAAACATTTTCCTTATGTATTACAGTCCTATTTTCTTATATGCAATCTGTTCTTTACATATAAAACAGGTATTGAGAATATCACCCTTCAACCTTCAAACTGTTACTCCTACATCAACACATAAATCTCATTACCAATTAAGTTTCCTGCATAAGAACCCATCAAATGCCTCCAAAGTGCTTTAGCTTCCTACATCTAATTACAAATTGCAAAATGCTAATTTTGGTGTCAATCAATCTGAGAACCAGTGTGCTACACTACTGCTCCCTGGGGGGGTGTCGAGTATCAGTTTCTCTGTCCCCAGATTATTCTTGTTGCTTCACATGTATATACTACATCCTGAATACTATTTTCTACTTTTCTAATGGAAATCAATATTTTCTACCAAAAATATCGTTTCTTTTATAGTATGTTAACATAATGTAAACTACTCTATCCCACTACTTGCAATGTTTTCTTTTCCTCTTCTCAAATGTAGGGCTTTCCCAAAGTGCATTTAAATTTATCCTTGTTATTATTATTATTTGTAATGTACTTAGTACAGGGTCTACAGGTTCTTACTATACAGATCGGACTCCTAGTAAGCCTCCTGTTTTCAGCCTCCCAAGCACTGGGATTACACGTTTGTGCCACCATGTCCAGTCTCAATCTCCACCTCAGCACTCCCTGGGGCCAGGGCCTACGTGGCACGCCACACTGGAGATTGAACTCTGGTCTCTGCACCTGCCTAAGCAGGAGCTTTAGTCTGTTGAGCTGTCTGGCTGGCCCTATCCTGTTATTTTGCACAATCCTCTAATCTTATAGTCTTTAGAAATGCTAACTCCTAAATTGTAGCAATTCTCTTTCATATGTAGTGCCCTTGCATGCTCCTAGCAAACTTCCTTCTCCTTGAATGCAAAAACAGACCTCAGTTCAAGTGTGATTCTGTCACTGCCTGTGTGAGACTTTGAATAAACTCTACCCTTTCTCTGCCCATGCTGGAGGACAGCTATGAGGATTGAATTTGTGATGTGTGAAATGTTCCCACTTTCTGGCACCTATTCAGTGCTTTATAAATATGAGCAACAGGTCTGCACCTTCACCAGCAGTGATGACACAAATGTAACTGAGTGGTTTCTAGAATTAGTGATGAATCCTTTGAGCCAAGATTTATGCAGCTATACTGATTCCTGTTCAGCACTGCTTGAGAGATCATCTCTGAGACATAGCAGGAAGAAAGAAATGAATGTATGAAAGCTAGTTCTGGAGTTGGATCCACCAAGCATTAGTTGTGTCTTTGCCATCTATTCATGCCATCAGTTTTGACTGTGAGCCTATCATGTGCAGACTTACTTGTTGTCCTCATAGAACTCATACTTCGGAGCAGAAGAGAGTTTCCTTCACTAAAGGGCAGTGAAGCAAACATAGGCACACGGATCTCGATAAGTGAGCCAGCCGAAGAAACAGATCAGGTACAGTAAAAGAGAGCAGGAGAGAGCTATTAAAATTTTGGTGGTCAGAGAAGGTGTCTCTGAAGAAGGGACATCTAAGCTGAGAATGGAAGGACAAGATGAAGAGAGAGGCAAAGAGTGGGGATGCTGCCGTCTTGAAACATGGAAAAACCTATGTGGAGGCCCGTACAACGGAAACACTGATGCTTTTTCAAACTGAAAGAAATATACTGTGATTAAGCATAGACATAGAGGATAGTGATGAAAAGAGAGGTAGAGAAGAGGCAGCGGCTAGATGCCCAGGCCATGTGGGCTATATTTAGAGTGACTGTGTATCTGATTTCACAAGGACAAGCTGGTTAAGCCTGTTATCCTAAAGTGAGTATTAGTAGCTCCCTCTTAGCTCTTAAAAATGTTCCAGTTTACACAATAAATTATGTAGTCATACCATCTGTAATATAGTGTGGGTTTTATTCTAAGTCTAACGTAAAACTTTAAAGAGTTTTAAGGAGGAGAATGATTTAGTCTTTAGGAAATGAGGAATGCATGTCTTCAGGAGAAAAACTGTAAAGTTATTGAAGGATTCAGGAGATAGCTTTTGTGGCACAGAATAGGATGTAACAGTCAGGTGAAGGGATATGAAGAGAGTTCCAGTGTGCTGTAGAGGTCAGAATAGTTAAGTCCTGGTGATGACTTCAATTTGGCAGGTAAAGCTGAAGGATTTTTCAGGAATGATTCCTGGGTAAACAAAGGGAATAATTCCTAGCTAGATAAACCATGCATGTTAAACTTGAGACGCCATGGGGATGCCAGGTGCCTGCTCAAGGATAAGCAATTACTCAAGCATAAAAATGGAGATTCAGGGGCCGGGGAGATGGCTCAGTGGAATAAGCCCTTCTCTGGCAAATGCAAGGGCCTGAGTTCAATCCCTGATTCTGCCACAAAAAAAAAAAAAAAAAAAAAAAAGGAGATCTGAGACCCCAACCTATCTTCTGAATCTAAACCTTTGATATCCAGAACATTATCTCAATTGCAGAATTGTATTTGTATATTTCTTCTTACCATGTTTCCTGCAGATGTTTATGATGGATGCTGTCTTAGTTACTCTTGAGAGTTGTTTGGAGGTTCTAGCAGAGGAGTACAACTACTTACATACCCTTGACCGAGGGATAGTCCTCTTTCATCAGGGTGGTTGTCCTCTCTGACCAAGTATGCAGCTTCAGGAGGCATGCACATGCAACACTGAGGGAGGGAAGGGACACTCATCTAGCCAGCCATATCAGCCAAATCAACCGTGGCAATCAGTGGGGTGACAGATGTTGCAGCCAGAGTGTTCTCACATCCTGAGACAAAATGATTGACACCTAAAATTAAAGGAAGAACAGTTTATTTTAGAGGTTTATTTCAGTTTAGAGTTTGTGAAGGTTTCAGTCCATATTAGTCTGACTGAAAAATAGGGTGGCATGGCAGAGGGGTATAGCAAAGGAGAAACAGTCCATGGTAGAGCAGACAGGAGGCAGCAGCAGGGAAGCTGCAGCAGCAGGGAAGCCACAGCAGCAAGCCTCCTTTTTCCTTTTATCCTTTCCAGGCTATAAGTTTTTGGGTTGTGTTACCCATACATAGGATGAGCCTTCCCATTATCCATACCCAGTAGAATAATTATCACACCCTTGATCCATATTCATACACCCTCAATCGGCATTCATGTAACTTGGCCCCAGCCACCTCTGAAGAGCCCCACCTATGAGTGTGAGAGGTATCTAGACATAAGACATAACAGATTTTGCCTATGAGTACCTATTTGTAGCACGGCCAGGGAGACAGCTCAGTGGCATGAGCACTTACCTGGTAA